ATCGATGCGAGGCGGTGCGTATCACCCCACCACTCAAGTATACATAACAAATAAATATACAGGGCGTTCGAGCGACCAGCAGCTGCGTGAGAACTTGCTGCTGTCGCTCGTACATGTCACTCCGTGCAACGAGTTGCACTACACGACATCTCGCTTTCGCGCAAGAAGCTGTTTTGGATGTGTAGCGGCAGGCGGCGAAATGCAACCGGTCTCTGCCATCGAATCGAAAACGTCTCCGACGCGATCGATGCGAGGCGGTGCGTATCACCATAGGTGTGCCGCCTGCACCATTAAAGCACACCGGTAGCCCTAAACCGTTCAGAGCCCATCAGTAGCCCTTCGAAAACTGCGTCCCAGTCGTGCTCTAGTCTCGTCCAGCCGGCTGCTTGTGCTTGGCGAAGGTCTCCTCGACTGACGTCGTCACTGACGTTGGCCGCTGAGGTCACACGTTGCCAAGCGGGGCGAAGCGACAACGACTCGATGTGTCTCCATGTGTGCTGCAACAGGCAGTTGATGGAGTCGTCCTTGCCGAAGCCCTTGGAGAGCGCGTGACGAGCTGGCTCATTGTGGACAAACATGATGATCTGTTTGTCGAGGTCGTGCTGCAGAGCGATCAGCGGTAAGACCTGTGCTACGACTTCTAACATATATATATGTAAGCGCGGCGACTGGTGAATTCGCGAACAAACCAGTAAGGGACTGTGCCATTCGCATACACTGTGCGGCCCTGGATGGTAACCACGAATCCCCATCCATTCCGCAAGGTCTCTGGCGGTGTTCGTCCCCAGTTGGGGATGTCCTCGTCACCAGGCTTCCAGTCCTTGTCGAACAGGTTGAAGAAGGCGTCCGCGTACACAACCGAGCGGGGCTGCGGTGCGAAGTAGAGCGTCCTGGGCGCTGCGTTCTTCAAGCTCCATCGAAGAAGGCCAATCCCGTGCAACAACTGCTGGTTGAGGCTCCACTGCTATTGTCTCTCCCGTGTCCCGTGAGCTGTGCGCGGCGAAACAAAGGCCGAAGCGCTACCGAGTGCGACTTTCCAAGCAAAGATTGACAGTAGAACTGCAGTCCAGTCGGCCTGCCAGGCTAGATGCTTCGTTGGGCGGCAACCTGTTGGCTGTGAGGATGCCCACGAGGTCCTCGTCGAGGCGTTGCCGGCGAGAAGCAGTGCCACTGACCCTCACAAAGTCGTCGTACACCGAGATCTCGACGCCTTGTATGACCTGCGTTGTGTGCGGCGGGTGTTGCTTAGACTCAGACTGCTTGAAAGAAAAACCTAAAGCTCTGCATAGTCTCTTGGAGCACTCGAAAGACGACGTCGCGAGCTCGGCATCCTCGCAGCTCCCAAAATCGTCCACGAAGTGCAATGCCGGCGTGAGTAAGCATGCGCGACAAAGCCAGGACATGAGATCCGCGATGCGACAGTAAGCCCATACGGAGGCCACGGACCCAAACATGAGCACCGTGTGCCGCCAAAGGGTAATGCCATGTGGCGTTGGCAATATGACCCAAGTGTGGTCGGGGTCTTCTGCCGCCAGTTGGCGATAAGCGGCCTCATGGTCCAGGCCCCATATGAGTAGCTGCGCGTTCGAGTGCTTCTGCTTGACGGCGACCGCAAGCTGAACGTATGCCGAAATGTCGTGGTAGGTTGGGCTGTCCTTCGCACCGACCGTGGCGTTGGCGAAGGAGCGTCTCCAGTCCTCTGCCCTCCTCACTTTGGGCTTGCCGTCGGAGCCCACCTGGTGCACAGCGAAGGCGAAACAGGTGGGCTTGTGGGCTTTGGGCCCCTGTGCCAGCTTGCTGGTGTGAGAGAACGCCGTCAAGGGAACCGCCTGTTTCGGCCACGATTCCGGGCTGCTAAAGGGCCCTTCCATGCGTCCCTTGGTGACGTCACCGGCGATCTCCTGGGCCATGGCCTCCCAGCACGGGTCGACTCGACAACGGCGAAGCTTGTCCTGGACGTAGAGCTCGTTCTTCTGCAGGAACTCGTCGAGCGGCATGGGGTCGGCGTAGCGAAAGTCATTGCGTGTTTTCCAACCCAATCCGGGTGCGAGAGGTCCTAGAAGTCGAAACCCGTGCGTTAGCTCCTTAAAGATAGCCCTGTCCTGCCATCCGAAGAGGTTGCACACTTTTTCCAGAGCTGGGAGCTGCAAAGAGCACGTGCGAGTCTCTCTGCGGTAGGCCTTCTGAACGTGCGGCGCGAGGCTCGAGTACCAGGCTTCGGTCTCCTCCTGCAGGTCGTCTACGAGGTCCTCGATCTGCTGGGCCACGGCGTCGCGAAGCTCTGTGAGGTGTGGCCGCATGCGTGACCACACTTGGAGCCATTGCCTCAATCCGGGCTCGATCGAGGCATCCCTTGCATCCGGATGAGGCATGACGCGTGACTGTCGCCAGTGCTCGTCGGGGTCCTCCAAGTACGAGAGGTCAAACTCGTCGTAGTCACCTGGTCCTGGTCCGAGCAAAGGAGACTTACCTTACCCTGTCATAGCCATAGCGCGGCTGTGACGTCCAGAGGCGTGCCCCCGAGGGGGTTGAGTTCTGCTGCTGGCGTTGGCGGCGTGGCTGCGAACACTGCCATGATGAACATCACTCTTGCTGCGCCCGCGTGCCAGCCATTTGCTATGGCTTTGTGGCGGGCGTGGTCGGGGAGCGACGCGGACCATCCTTTGGGTAAGTGGTGCCATTGCTCCTTGACGTTGGCAGGAGGAAGCACCAAGCGCTGGTCGCGATCCATCATCATGACGCCTGACTCGTAGTGCCACGGAGCGTAGCGCCTCTTGTCGGCGAGCCAGCGTTGCGTTGCCTCCGAGCTGATCTTGCCTTTGGAGCTCCGCGGTGCTGGGCGTCCTTGCGGGTCGTCGGAAGGTGTGGTCAAGCACGGCACGGGCTTGGCCTCCTCGGTCAGGCATCGTGGTAGGATGAAGCCGTCGGCGGTGATCACGATGGTCACGGTGTTGCCCGTCGCCTTGTTGCCAAGACTTCCAGTACTTCTGGTCGTTGGCACGGTAGCGGTTGTCGTCGTTGCGGCGCCAGCAGTCCCTGTCCTCGTCGTGTTGGCGTTGGTAGCGCTGTCCTTGCCACTGTCCGCGACCTTTGCCTCTTCCGCGGCCGTTGCCTTTGTCGCCCCCTTTGGTCCAGCGTGTTCTTGTCCACGTCGAAGTGCACGCGCGGGATCCCCTGCATGGTGGTCCATCGAAGATTGAAGGGACAATCCTTGCGGTGCGCGATCTCCTGCCAGGGTACGCGACACCACCAGACCCTGGGACGGGAAATCGTCCCAAAATCTGAAGCATCATGTACCACCGCGGGGGCGTCCAGCATGCGTTCCACCTTCCTCATATCCGCCCTATTTTGGGGAATCACATTTTCCACGGCGAGCAAGATGGCTCGGCTGCGGCCCCATGACTTCTCTGCGGACTGGATGAGCTGGGCGAAGCGTGTGAATTTCGAGCCCTCTTGTCCGGCGTGACCAGGAGCGTCCTGCCGGATCCTGGAAAAATCGTGACAAGGCGGTCCTCCCGCTATCACTATGCGGGCGCGACCGGCCGGGTCGAGCTCATCAACAAGCTTCTGGAGGGTCGCTGCGTCCTCTTGCTCGAAGTCTCCGCGGGGCGTCACTTGCGGGAAGTGCTCGGCCACCAAACTCTCTAAGTCCCTGTCGATCTCCCATGATGCCCCCGACCACTGCAGGTTGTGCTCCTTGCAATAGTTGTCACATACTAGGAAGGCCGTCCCCAAGCCATCAAAGAAGCTCAGCATGACGAAGTCGGGCGCTGTGCGGCTGCTCACTCGGACTACTGCCTCGCGACTCTTCAGAGAGACTGTGGGCGTCTTGGGAGGGCTGAGGGGTGGACCTTGTTCGCGACGGCGAGGGAGCGGCGACCTTGAGCGAGCGCAAGTTGAAGGCTTGACTGTTGCTGTGGCAAGGTCGGGTCCACCCTCATGGGATGGCCCGTGCTGTCCCTATGTGTATGGGCGATAGGGCTGCCAATCCTTCCCTTTGCCATGTCCGCGACCACGGCCACCGCGACGATCCAGCCAGGGTTGTTCGGTTTGGCGGGGCGCTTTGGTCGGGCGCTCCGGCTGAATGTCCCTGTTCATGGCGTCCTGGAGGGCCTGGCTGTCGACAATGATCTCGTCGGCGATCTCCTTGAAGGGAGTGGCTTTCCGAAGCGCGAGCGCGATGCGCCAGGATGTGTTCTCCCAATGGAGCTTCAACTGCTCGATCTTGTTGGGCTTGCTGCGTACCAGACGTTGCCAGTACTCAAAGTAGCGGTCCAAGTCGTGCTCGGGCGCATATTCGATGAATATAAGCGCCATGTGGTTGGCCGTCAAGCAGTCCAGGAGAGCTGTCTGCGACTGCGGGCGCCAGCGATCCTCGGGCTCCGTCTCCAACTGCAAGTCCGCGTTCACGACCAAAGTCGTGGCCTCCTGCGTGCGACAGCGCTTCTTGGAGGCGAGGTTGTTGGGCTCGCCCGATGCCTTGAAGTGGCGGTGCTGCACGATCTCCT